AGACCTCTTCTTGTGTTTTTTGCAGAGGTGCATTATTTGGCCTTTGTTTGTGTGGAATTCTATATCTGTTACTAAATACAGGCATATGATTTTTGATAGTGTGATGTCAGAACATGATGGAGATGGCTTGTGAAAGAAATCCTACATTTTTGTGGTATTTAGAAGTAAGGTTTGTTCATTGTCATGTGACACAATGGCTTTCCAACATGCGTGCGTGTTCAGGAATTTGATTTTGTTATCTCTGCTGTCAATCTTTACGATGTTTGCAGTTGCAGACAACTTGTTGTTAATTATGTATACTTTGGAATTTTGTGGTCAGATTACTGTGTTTCCACATGAATTTGTTTCAAGTAAAGCCTGGAATTTTCCTTGTTATCAGACAATTGAATCACTCACCTCAGGTATATTTACATAAAATTGAATTGAATCTGTTGCTCTGAATGGATATTTGCAGGCTGGCCTTGATGAAAAGCTATAACCTTTATTTGGTGAAATCACATCAATTTATTGTATTATATCGCTCAAAGTATCAGGGATGTAATGTGTTGGTTTTAGTTTAAATGTTTGACCATGGTTCTTGTTGTTTTACACCTGATACTGAAATGACTGTAACCCTGGTGCCAACAACGTAAATGTTTTTTTTTGTTTGTTTTTTTTTTTGCTCCTGTGACACACTGAAGGTGTAGATAGTGGCCCATCAGCAGAGCACTAAGTGGTTGCTTTTCCCCCTCGGCGACATTGAGAGCAAAATCGCTTGGCCTCAGCAGTCAAAGTTGCCACAACAGTATTCAAGGATAAGTCTCTTCTTGCTGTGTAGTTAAGATACCTATAAGGGCTTGGCACTTCTCCAGAGCATTATTATTTGGACACAGAAATCCCACACATTATCTTGCTTTTGACATGGAAGGTTTCACTTACGTTTTCTTGTTTTTCTCTGCAGAGTAGTAGTTAAAAACATTTAAAAATCTTGTTGACCATTTTTTAAATTTCATTTACAATTTATATCTGATGTTTAATAATAATTAATAACAGTTATGTGACTTGATGTGACCAGTTTATTCACTATGTCTGGATTGGAAAACTTTAGAGATATCATTACTTCCACTCACTGTACAGGATTTCGACAACAGTTGTCTGTTAAATACCTTTTGAGTGTTTGAGGTAAAAGAACAGTCAAAAGGTTTAGGCGAGTAAATGATTTTGCTGTTATATTAAACCAGCCTTTCTCTTGACACACACTTATATACTGGCGTTTTGGCATGAAGGAAATGATAGGAACAAAATCACCTTAATTGCCCATCAAACAGTACAAAATAATTTGATAGGAATCTTTTTAACACTGGCATAAAATAAATATTTAATGACACAGACTCTGATGGTACATTTCTGTAAAGCCTTTTGTGTTTGTCAATCACGAGGTGCCAAACCATTTCCAACTGGCTTTCAGTGTTGCATCCTCACATGTTTGACAGATGCTTTCCTCTGATAAGAGACTTGAAGGATAAATCCAACTGTTAAACACCCCCACAACAATGCCTCAGAGGAAACAAGCAAATACGACTGCCAGGGCAGCTTAACAGTGAGGGTGTAAATAATAATTTATTCATCATGTCTGTGTTTTAATGTAGCTACTATTCATCTGGAAGACTTTCATCAGTGTTGCACTTGAGTGGTTGCTGCATTCAGTTTATCGTTATGTCAACAGGATGGGTAGTGTGTGGCCAAGAAGTTGTCCCTGCTGTTTACTCAAGCATAGTGTATTAAGAACCAGTGCCAAAGTACTGTAGTAGTGATTGCTTAGAACTCAAACCCTCTTTCTTCCATGTAATGTATTCAAGGGTAATTTTTCAGGCGAGTGTGTATTTTGATAAGTATAATTATATGACAGTAATATAATAATAATCAGTGCATAATGCCTTTTATATGTAGATTTAATTTACTTGATATCTGCGTTTATCGATCCTTTACTACTTCTAAGCCCTTCTAAATACTTACTTCAAAAGAAAAGGATGAAAACAGGCGTCCTCATTCATGTTGTCTTCAGCTTTGAAGTTCCCACTCAGGAGATGCACCTCTGCACACACACAAAGTGTCTCTCTGAGCTGTCAATGCCAAAACTTGTTTAGGCAAACACACCTCAACCACAAAGGAGATGCTTTGACCTGAGGGGATGAACATGACTGACAGGCAGGTGGAGCCCCTCCCCAATGTCCCCCTGATTAGCATCATAGTTGTTGTTTTTTTGTTTTGATTATGGCCTTCACTGGCTGCACAGTGTGATTCAGACCCCATATATAGGCACATCATGGACATTACGTTGATGACTACTTCTTACAAGTTGACAAAGGTTGCATC